AACCAAATAGAAAAGGATATTGTTTAAGTTAAAGTCATAGGGATTATTTTGAGCGTTATGTAGCATATGTCACAAACCCCCCACACAGAAAAATGAACGCTCAACTGCCACGTAAGAGCAATGCGAAAAAGAATAGTATTACTGAAATCAGGAAAAGGTCCTAAGGGTTGTTTAGGATATACAGTACCTATATTAAGTTATCTACTAAAATTGTCTACGAAATTCTAATGAAATGGAAATATTGTTTTCATCATATTGTCCAGAAACAGCCGTTTTCAGTTCTCTAAATCGTTCTCAAAATCATCGTTTTCGGGTAACTTCAGGGAACAGAAAAAACACATGGTAAATGTAGGTCCGCTAAACTCAAAATTTGTTTGTGGCACATTATAAGTGCTATGAATCACTCGTACACGATGGCTTAAGTAATTTTTCTTAACGACAGTGAAATGTAAACATTGATGACGACTTAGTATAACTTCAAACTATGCGGTCTAATTTTGTAGCGAATAGAAGGTTATTTCCACAGTATGATGAAAATAATTGTTCATCAAACGGAGCGAAAATGTCTTTTTGGTCCTTATTCATATTTCTAAGCTCGGTTGCGCCCATGAATACTTAAAAAGAACCGGTATGGGTCATAAATGACGTTTTTGGCCTGAAAAAAAAAACTTGATTAAACATTGCCTAAATGGAACTGCCAATAGTATAGGATTTGGGCCAACAACGTCATTTGTTTAGGTTTATGATCCATACCGGTATTTTTAAGTATTCGTGGCTGCGCCTCGCTTGTAAAACACGATTACGTACCAAAAAGAGCCACTTTCGTTCCTTGTGATGAAAACTACTATTTTATTACTGTATAGCTTAACAAATTTATACAGAGGCTTACCATACAAGTTGAGCTGTTATGGAACAAACGATAATATGATAACTAAATATAACTATGATAGGCCTAACTATAACTATAACTATGATAATAAAAATAAACTTAGATATAGCTAAGGGACTATGTTTTATCTTTGGTAGCCTAACCACGCTAATGTAATTGACAAATGCAACAATAGATTTGTAAGTTCCCCCTTTAGGTGATACAAATCTTGACTAAACAAAATAAGTAATGTGAAAAAAGTGTATAGTTATTGTCTATGCATTATATATCCGTACAGTAATATAATACGAGCAAAGTTTGCGCACAATGATTTCAAAAACGGTTTCTACGATTTTCTCTAAATTGTTAGGAATATCTTAGTTTCAGGCTAAAAACAATATCCATGCTAGCCATTGACAAATAAAATTGAAAAAATAATTTTTCATTAAAAACTGTAAATGAAATTTTAATTTCTTGTAACATTGGTCTTATGGAAAGCCACAAACTGTAATAAATGAATTGTAACATAATGTTTATAAGAAACCATCTACAGTACAGTGGCAAATGACTAAATACAGCACAAAAGAAAAGGAAATTCACATAAATATGCCTACCATTTTTAGCATTAGTTATTTAATACACTTGAGGTGTTTTATTAAGCAATGCGATAATTACGACTGTTCAAAATCGTAGAATAGTTTACCACAAAAGATTAAACACTAACGCTGAACAAAGAGTATTTAGGAAACCCCAAGGGCGTTCTGTAGTTTTTGACGATGCGCCACCGGAATGGGCATGTTGTTTTAACGATCCCACGGATTATAAAATTTAAAAAAATAGGAACGATATGGATCATAAACTAACAAATTACCCGAAAATAAAATATTCTTGTCTTATTATTTCAACGCAACTGTGAAAAACGTCCAAACACAAGTAGAGATTATTAGTATTAGATCCATCCAATTACGTCATTCTTTTATGTTTTTTATCCATACGGAGGACGATCCCATTGTTGCGACGTTCCTCGATCCATTGACTAACATGTCGCAACCAGAGAGCGCATAATATTCGCAACGCACAACAATGCTGGTCAACAGCTGATAAATACTATCACGAGTTTGTTATTGAACTGTATTGTAGAAATTTTCAATACTTATTATTTGTTTGTCTAGCAATGATTGTCTAAAGAGCAAAAAGTATAGGCTATGACATTTTTTGTCTCGCAAACCCTTAAATTCAATCTTTGAAACTACACTAACAGCAGAAAAGAACATCTTCCAGAATTTGGAGTGTTTATTTGCAGTTGTTACTAAATATTTTGCCGTCATTATGTTTACTCTTTAAATTATTTCTAAGAGTACATTCATCAGTGGAATTCATTAGTTTTGAGCAAAACTGACATTTTCTTGGCCTAGCACAAAACTGTACGATACGTCTAACGGCAATTAATTAATCAATTAATTGTTAGAGGTAACCCGATGTCAAATCTAGTCTAATAAACTATTAGTTATGAGATTAAATATTATATTATTAAGTCTTGCAATGGCTCAGCTTTAAAAAAAAGATAATACTACTGTATAATGATACTATTTTTAGGTAGAGAATTTTAAATTTGGTAATTTGTTACTGCGTCAGTGAGTTTGTTTAGGCCTAAGATGCTTTTCAATAACTTGAGACGACAGCATAAAATGTTGCGCAAGCATCAATACGTGAGCATGAGAAAATGTTATTATATCTTTTTTATTACATTTTATTTTACACTGTATTTTATAATATCATGGAAATTATGTGTAGATCTATGTTAATTATTTATCGTCACCTACAAATTAAACATCACGAGCGATGCTCGGTCCCCTGGTAGGCCTACTATAAATAGTAGCGAATATTTTATTAGTCATTTACTAATTTTTTATTTAAATAATAAATTTGCATTGCTGAATCTCACAGTGTTGCAAAATTAGATACTACAGTGTCTGGGAGATACTTTACTACAACATTTACTACCAGCATCACATTCTTCCTTTCTGGGTTTAAGGCTCTTCCTGTTTGCCTAGGTTAATGTCTGAGGTTCATGATGGTTCAGGGTTTAAGATCCTTTCCCCACAAGCCAGTTGAGATATAGGTGCTAAAACCTGGTCATTGTTTATGTTGATGACTAGACAGTATTTTGTTGATAATTTAACAAGCGAATAAGAAAGTCATGTTATGGTTTGTTAACGAATGGTTCATATGAAAGGAGGTTGTTAATAAACACCCGTCTTAAAAGTTTTCCAACGATTAAGAGCGTTGTTAAATTTACTCAATGTCTTAGATTCCTCAACTTATGATTAGAATAGTTTCGATCCTAAAATGTATGTAACAACTAAGAGATAAAGTAATTAACGTAATTGCACAATTTACATGTTTTGTGATTTGTACACTGTAACACAGTTGATTGAGAAAATCGAATAAAATGGTTTGTAAACATTTTAAAATAGTTTTTGGATAATCGGAGTTTGTGCAGCCAATTTTAAAGAGCCAATTTTAAAATGTAAGCAATTACCTTACAAGGCACATTTCAAGCGTCTAGTGTTCGGTAAAACTCGGAACATACGGTAGATGCATGTCAGGTCACCAAAACCATTAAATGCACGCAATTAGGAACACCACCACTCTCTGTGTTAATTGCGACTGAGTCATCCGCGACATCACAACTGTCATCTCGACACTATAAACTACGGTCACGACTTTCACAATCTCTACGTAAACACCTTTTACGAATAATTTTATATGATTTCCAATGGTGTCACCAGTTTTCGACTGCGGCCCTAAACATGTACTTCGCCCTAACCCTAAGGATGTAGTACTTTATTGACCATAACTTCCAACTTTTTTAACCAATGTTAATCAATTGTTGATCAAAGTGTTAAAAAATACCTCAACTTCTAGAATTAGTTTTTACTGAGAGCTAAGATGAATACTAGTGTTATCGTGATTGTACTGTTTGTTGCACACTTAGTTACGGCATGATACAACAAAGTACTTATTGCTTATCTTTTTTGCTATACAACACCATACATATATGGTATCAATAAATGATCCTGACTAATGAAACCGCTGATTCAGTCAGTAACAAAGCTACACAGGTCATCACACACCATTCTACACTCATCCTTCACTCATATTTGGGTTAAAATACGTACATTGGTGGCGTCCCCATCTCAATTAATAATTGAATTGATTGATACAAACAAACATTCCACTAACCTAACATGTAAGGGTTTCATGGATGTTCCACGATAGTTAAATATTTAGCCCAAGCCTGTATACATTTTTCTTCAGACCAAAGTAGCTTGGCTTTTGTGTGAAACTTGGCTACAGAACGAAGTCATTAGCACATACCGGCGAGGGAAATGGGTTCATCGAACAATGACGAAGCAAGGAAACCATGAGTGAAACCGTGAATGTCTCTGGACGGATGCTTCGAGTGATACAAATGACTTCAAGACAGTTGGTGAATAAACACAAAGCCATTCAAATGTGTCTGCAAACGAAGTGAAAACGTGAGCTTGCCGACTTCTTGGCCTTTGCTAGACTACTGTAAACTACTTGCAAATAAGATATCTTACATCACTCCATTGACAAGCAAGGTACTCGAATTGGTACTAATACAATGATGGTCGAGGATTTTTTATCGCCCATCCCAAAACCTAACCTAATGGTGTGGATCTAACCAAATACGATTTAAATTTAAATTATTGTTTATCATTTAGTTCGAGCAAAATAATAGTAAATATTTTATATTTAATACAGTATAATTGTGTCGTATTTTTGATAAACCACGTTTTAATTCGAATAAGAAGAAAATGGTTTTCCTTCGCAGTTATGAGCTTTGAATAGTTTAGAATACTTACTTCTTTATTAATATGACCTGCATATACCTAACTTAAAGCTCACGTTTGGGGAAAAAATGAAGTTCTTATTTTATTTTATATTTTTTGTTCTGAAACCAGATTTACAGTATATTACGAAATCCAAAAGCATTTGACCATGTACCGAAGATTAAAGAACGCTAAAAAGATATTGTAAATGTATCTTAAAACTATAATTTTGACAATTGAAAAGATATTAATTGACACTTCTCCTGTTTCAGAAACTAATCAATGAACAAAACCCAAAACCTGACAAAAATGAAGTCGTCGAGCTGAAATCAAGCAAAGGACATTTAATGACTTGGACTAGATATCATCGCTACTCCGGTAAGAACCATTTTCTGTTCACCTTTTTAGACTAGTACCATTGATACTAATTCTTAATTTATTTTGTACTGAAATCTATTGTTTCTGTTCATTTATCTATTTATTTATTCATTTCAACGGATAACACCTTTTTACAATAACATATACATGATAAACATCATTTAACACAATTTTACAGAAATGGTTGAAGCTTATGGCCTATGAGATGACAGACACAAGTATAGCGATAAATAAAAATAAAAAACAAGTAGTAAGTAACAATGATGATTAGAATTTACATGGTGGTTTTTACGATACTTTGGCCACCCTTATACAGTGCGCTGCGACAGTTATGTTAGGTTGGGTTATCATAAATATGTTTGTAGGTCATTACAATTTATAATAGTAACGTATCATACGAACTAACTCCAGTGAAAACCGATAGTAACTTTTAATGTATACAAACTTTGTTCCAGAAATCACAAGCTATTTGGAATATCTTCAAAACACGTATCCTAATTTGGTCGAAATATTCACAATTGGAAAATCAACTGAAGGTAAACCTCTTAAAGTTCTCAAGATTTCATCTCCCGTTTCAAAAGACAAGAATAAACCTGCAATTTGGATTGATGGTGGTAAGATTATTTAGCAAGCTGTATTACACATGATTATTATTAAGAATAATTGGTTATTTAGTATTTCTTCGTGATTATTTTAAGTTGAAACAAGAAGTTTCACTTAAGTTGTGAGTTGTTTCCGGGCTCTGGGAAATAAGCGAACGTCGTCTTTATCAATACTTAACGCCTCGTGAGACTGAAGAAAACGCTAAACTTCCTCAGGGCTTTTTAGTTTTGATAAACGTGAGCTTATGTTCTATTGTCAACTAATTATTAGTGAAATCAACTACATAAGAAAGCAGTTAGAGTACTAAAGTGAATTGGTTAGGGCTTACCTGTTTTGCTTATAGCCTACTTAAAGTGTGTGAGTGTGTGTGAAGGATGGTAAATGCCAAATGTCGGAATCGGAGCCCTTACTCCATCGATTATATAGCCTACTACACCGTAGATGTAAGACCTTCTAAATTAGCCAGTAAGTAAGGTAAACAGCGATTCAAGTGGCTTGGGGCGACTATTAATGAGTGCCCACCGATGTCGTCTCTTGCATTGATACATTTTGTTAAAACTTATCCGTAAACATTGAAACGATCTCAACATTTGAGGTTAACATGTACCGTTTCTAAGGCTTAAATTATTAGCACACACATGTTTAGAAGTTCTAATTTTTTAAACCGGAAGAGCGTTTAAGTGTTCTCAAAATCTTAAGTGATAGTGCTGCGATCTATCCTGACAGGGTGGTAACTACGTAATCTTCATAGTTGTAATCACATTGTTTTGTTCCCGTATTTTCCCATATTCTTACAGTCTACCATTTCTTTGATTACATGGCGCACATCCTCTTAAACCCTTGCAGGTGTCCACGGCAGGGAGTGGATTTCACCAGCTGTGGCGTTGTATTTCATCAAACAGTTGGTAGAGAACTACGGCAAGAACCTCCACATTGTTGACCCTCTGGACTGGTACATCATGCCAGTCATGAACCCTGACGGATACGAGTACACTCACACCAGGGATAGGTTCTGGAGGAAGTCGAGGTCCGCGTACAAGGAGGAGGAGGAGGATCTGTCTGCAAGGAGAGGGCGGTAGGTGAACTATTGGATTCTAGATAGTTTTTTGAGTACATCGAGAAAGCAGTCATAAGTCTTGTTATCATTGTTCTAACCATATAACTCAAGGATTGTTTAAAATCAGTTTTTCATCTTTTGACTTCGAAATCTTTGCCTTGAAATGTTTTGAACTTCGACATATTCAGTATTTACCCTCCATTTGTGTTACGAAATAAATAAAAAGCATTAGTTTCAAAAACTTTGATAATTTTTACTATTTGATTGATATAAACAATATAAAAATAAACTTATCATGATGATTGGAATAAACAATATCCTTTTGTGCCCAAGTTAGAGCCCCATGTTTCATAGCCTATTAAATTGATTATTTCCATAGATAAAGAGAAGTTATCTTTTTAGAAAATATAGCCACCAGATCAATTTAGAACAGATCCAAGGCCTGGTCCTAAACGCAGTTGCAATTTCGTCATAATGGTACACTCTAAAAACATTAGTAAATAACGAATTTCTTGATTTTCTCTGTTTTCTTTTCTTAAACTCTACATGATTTTGCTCGAATCACCAACAATTAAAATGAAATAATTCCTTGTGATTACCCAGCTGTACTTGACTAATGTAAATGCGTTCCTAAAAATATTCTTAATTTGTTTTCAATCTCAGTTTCTACTGGAGTTCCTCCCAGAGCTGTCAAGGCGTAGACCTGAACCGCAACTGGGACTTCCACTGGGGCGAGCGCGGGGCGAGCGACGATCCCTGCAAGGAGACGTACTCCGGATCCCGCGCGTTCTCGGAGCCCGAGACCCGGGCGGTGTCCGAGTTCATCCTGGATCTCAAGGACCGCCTCAGGGTCTACCTGACGCTCCACTCGTACTCGCAGATGTGGCTGGTGCCGTGGAGCTACACCAAGAGCAAGGTGAAGGACTACGACGACCTCGTGTATCTGGGACGTAAAGCGATCGAAGCGCTCAAGAAAGTCCACGGGACCGAGTATGACATAGGGACGTCTACATCGTTGCTCTACCCATCGTCAGGCAAGTGCTGTGGAATAAGTATAGAGTATTGTTGACAATTTCAGCCATCAGTTCTTTAGAGTACCCGTCCTTCGTACAGGGTTGGCGTATGAGTAAAAAATACTTATTGCAGTTAAACTCGTGCTTTACGTTTGCAATAGGAGAGGACACAGCTTAAGAACACATACACACAAGGTACACGTTTCAAGAAAATTTGGTTTACTATAATTTATGGTATACATTATAGCACATCTACCATAGGCATAATGGTCTACCACTGCATGGTTGCTGCTTGGTTCAAATTCAAACAAACAAACACACAAACTTGCATTTATAATATTGATTTAAAACCATGACGGCACATAAACACTGAATCTGCTTCTGCCTTGAAATTACTACTAGTGGCTTTAGTGGTTTAAGCAAGGAATGTCGTAAAATTTGGTCACAAGAAGTAATTGTTTAAACTGCTGTAAATACTATACAATAGTGTGCATTTTTACAATTGATGAGGTTGCTATTGATTAAATAAGTTTACTCTAAGTTTCAAAATATTAAATTTGTATTTAACCAATTCTTTAATAGTTTAACATAAAATTACTCATAAGATAATTTATTATTCAATTATTCACTTCCTAGGCATGGATAAAGGTTTCACGGGATGCATTAATATACATACATACATTTTATTCAATAGACATGAGTTAATACTGCATGAAAAGTCTTTATTTCGTGTGGCTGGGTAAATTCCGCTGATGGCAACAACATATTGTTAACAAGAAACTTAAGTTTTACTTGAGTTGAGTTGTTTATATCGTTGGAGTTATCACTTGAAGCTTATTAGCACGCAGGTCGGAAAGAAATGTAGCTCTGGATATTTGCAATTCCCTTTTGGTGACAATTATTGTGTTGACCTTGTGAGTTGAAACATTGTTTCTTTATTCTTCATTGGATCAATAAGTGCTGAAAAAGAAAAACTACTATTTAGAACATTTCATCATAAAAGCCAGTTAATACATCTTCTATAATTTTTGTGAGACCGTCCGTGTATATGAATTGTAGGCTATGTTTTAGTTTTATAATCAGTTGTTACTTGTCAGTTGTCCATTGCTTATTAATAATAAATCAGCTGATTAATAGCATTGTTTGAACAATGAAACAGATATTGTGCTACCATAACCATTGCATGAAATGATCACATTGCCACACCATTGTTTTTTGTTATGATCTAGCAAAATAGCTTATTTTCATGCAGTGGTAGCTAAAGTAGCTATTTCATTGTTCAAACAGTTTATCACCTTATTTGTTGGTAAAAATGTATTAACAAGTAAGAGCAGATTAGCATGCACAAGTCCACTAAGTGTGTTATAGTTTGTTATAATCAAAATATTGTGTGATAAAAAAAGCCATAACTTTGTAAATTTTCGACCGATTTTGTTATTTTGGGTGTCACTAGATATGTTTTTAAATCTAGTAAATTTTATTTGACTTTGTATTTTTTTTATAAAATTCTTCGTTTTGAAGATATAAAAAAATACAAAAAATAATTTCTTTTTAAGTTTATTGCAAAGTATTTTTACAAGTCTGTACCAAAATTAAAGATTCTAAGTTGAAGCATTAAAAAGGTATACGATTTTTTTTTAAATACGAACAGGTAGATGGAATACTATGTATGAGGGACCCTTAGCTATATTGCAAAATCTTTTTGTCTCTATACAAGTAACAATCCCACAAAAACGGTACAGGTTGATTAGGGACACCCTGTATGGATATATATTTTTGTAAAAATAAAATCAGGCAAATGGAAATGCGTGTGCGGATTTTCTGTGGCAGGGGTAGGCTTTTATTCAGTTTTTTTCTTATATACTAATAGTAAATGCCGATTGCTGGGGTTTTATATTTGTCGGTATAACAGTTTCAAACACCTAAAAGTTTATCAATATTGGATTGTTAGTTATAAAACTGAGCATTCAAAACTTGATTAAATTAGAGAACTGTCAACTAATAGATTACGCAAAACATACGGATTCAGTACATACAATTTCCCTTTTGATGTTAGTCCGGATTACGTTGAAATTGGTGTAAATACCTGCATCGGGGTAATCTTGATTGATGCTAGTGTCACAACTAGCTCTACAACCTTCTACTAAGTCATCTCCAGGCAACAAGGATGTCAAAAGGGTGGTCACTTCATAAGAAGGTCGTCGTTACACACAGTACATAAACACACGGACATTAAAATGGCAAAACGGTATATTTAAAACGATTAAAAACTAACAAAAACGGTAAATGCAGTGACACATCATTTCCACGCTACAGTTGCCGTTTTTGTTCGGTTTTAATCGAACATCAATCAGGGGGGGATGCAGGTCTTTACACTAATTTCATACAAAACTTCCGTTGTCGAAATTAATTTAGTTTAGTTTAATCTGTGTTGCAGTGAAATTTAAATCGTGTTGTACTGTATTCTACTTTCTCATAGCATGATGCACTTTCCCATTGCACATTAATGCATCAACGCCTTCTTGGTAATGAATGGGAATCATAACATGTTGATTGCACCAAGTAATTGCTTACAATTTAACAATTGTACACTCTTTCTTACTTTCATGAGGAAATTGTTTTAAGAAAGGTGCCACAGTCATTTTCACAACTTTAGTAATTTGTTTTTAACACTTCATGTATTTAATATCAAGTGTTTTCAGTAAAACAAAACTTATCATATGAAGAGCGAAAAAGCCATTTTTTTGACAGTTTCTTAATTCAATAATATATTAGTTTGTTTTCATTCGTTGTAATTTCTTCTCTTTATACAAGTATGATACTAACCTATGTAGCTATAATATTTTATAGCTTTTGCCCAAACCACGTTTACAAGAATGTATAAATTAAAAACTCACAAACAATTATTGAATAATATTTATCATTTTAGAGCTGATGATAATAATTAATCGTTCATTCATGCGTCGCAACACTTGAATAGTGGTCAAATCGAGTCACATTGGTTCTGGAGATAAGGGATAAAATCCTAAAATCCAACGATTGCTTTTGGCCACATGGCAAGTAATGCAATTTAAGCCTGCCTTTAACTGTACATCCTCCTTCCAAGTAAAATGTTTTTGATTAAGCAAGCTATTTTTTTTAGCTACGACCGTTTATCAGAAGCTCTATGATCAAGAACATTTGGGTCCAGTCTTAAATCATCAAAATCTACTGATTTTTTTATTAAGATCGAAGAACCACCTTAATATTGCGAGGCGAACACTTTTTCACTCATCTAACCATTGATTTGAAGGTCTTTCAAGAAAACTATCTCTAAATAGAAAATATATCTCTAAAAAAAATCATACGATAATTTTAGTTCATTAAACAGTATCTAAAAAAACTCAGATTGGATACAATGTGTGATTGATTTTTAACGTTTCAGGTAGTTCTGACGACTGGGCCAAGGGGAGAGCTGGTATCAAGTACAGCTACACGGTGGAACTCCGAGACAAGGGCAGTTACGGCTTCCTACTTCCTGCTGCTCAGATCATCCCCACTGGCAGGGAGACGTTCGCCGCCGTCCGGGCGCTCGCCCGAGCCGTCCTCAAGGAGATGGGCTGAACTAAGAGCGCGAGAAGTGCGACGTGCCATTACATACCAAAGACTCAAGACTCAGTGTTAGTTACTTTAGTCGGATAAAACGCTGCGCCACTGTCGCAACGCTCGTGCGGTGTTGCCAGTTCTCTTCCATAGTGTGCAGCAGTGTTGCCAGATATCCGCGGTACGGTCCACGAGTAGTTAAACCTGAGTGCAGGCTGACAGTGTCTGGTGCTCAGTGTTACGTTAATTTATAAGGCGTAGCAAAATGTAGTATTTATTAATACTATGAGCATTTTATTTCCAATACACCCAACTGAAATCGAATTGCTTTTGAACATATAGTAAATATACTTGACATAACTGTGGCCCTTTCAAAGAAACTTGCTACTTTGTTTTCTTACGTGTTAATATTTTAAAATACTGAATTTCTTTTGACTTCAAAACTTAAACAAAACCCATTTTCATTTGAAAAATTATCTTTGAAATGAGAAACTATAATCAGTATGTTATGACTCTGTGAAAATGTTAGTTTAAAGAAGAAAAAGAGTAGACGACTTCTTTAGACAGCTACAATATTATTTAATTATAGTGTTCTTGTAGAACTTTAAGTATGGTCGATGATGGATCAATAAACTGTTAATTTTATTTGTAAATATACTATTTAAATACGAGATTACTGTTTGTAAATACAACTCTTGATCAACAGTGGTTGAATAGCTTCCTATGAAAATACCTTATTAGCATTTTGTATTTTGTGTTTTGTATTTTGAGTATTTTGTCTGATAGTTGCAAAAATGATTGATGAGAAAATAATTCATTAGAAAAGAGTTATGATTCTGTGCTCACAATATATAATTCATTTCCAGTTTGCACTCGAAATTGATAACTATTTAACATTTTGTTAAATCTGTGAATTTTGTAAACTATGTACAATAAAACATAGGAGTTTCAAAATTTAATGAACTGGAGTTAAGAATTAGCTTTATATGAAAATACCAATCAAACTCATGTATATTAATTTGAATCTATTTTTAAAAAAGTTACATAAACATTTTCTATCAAGATACAATTTTTTCATTCTTTTTTTTTTGAAAAAACAAAATGTAACATGTGTTTTCTAAGTGTGTTTGGAGAAATATTGAAAACACTAGCATTACAAAACATATCCCAATTTAATATTTTACCTTAAATGTTGTTTGTCAATAAATTGTAATTTCAACCTGTTCTGTAATCAAGAGAACATCTTATAATTGATTTTAACCTCTACTATCATCTGTTTTCGTCAATAAAGTGACTTAATGGCGTATAATTAGCGTATTATATTATTAACAGGTAATAAGATGATTGGTTGTTAGGAAGGGCGTGGCGTCATTAGATAAGAGGTTGTGTCAACTGATAACAGAGAGATAAGAGAACACATGCGTGTCAACACGTGGACACACACGCAATATGGGACATCCGATACTTTATATGCCTAAGTGAGAAACGTACGTATACCACTGTGTATCAGGACTATTTGTTACAGTTTTTCTTACGATGGTCTTGATTGCGGGATCCTGTAACTAGCTGGTTTGATTAATTAACTTTACTAGTGAAAGTCACTAACACATTTTCAGGTGTATTATTACTTCCCAAAAAAGGATAAAACTATAAATTATATATGCAGTAAGTGTTGGAATATATGGATGGTGAGTAAATAATCACACCTAGGCGACTGAAATCACTATGATAGGCTATAGTCTGAAATCTGAATTTGACATCTATGGTCCCATAAAAAATAAAGGTATTGCATACTCAATAGGAGTTTTTTATATGCACGATATAGGGCAATATCCAGTTTTTATAATCATAGGCTTAACCATGTCTATCACCTTACGTCTACTGCTCATTCTAGATACAGTGGAGCCTCGAAAACAAGACCCTCGATAACATAACATGTCACCCTTGTGTCATATTTAAATCCCCTATAATTTATTTTACCTCTAATAACATAATATTGCAAACCTCGATAAGAAGACAACCTTGATAACAAGGCTTATTTTATAATCCCCATGAGAGTCTAGTTATCAAGGTTCTACGTTCCCGATGGTCGCTACATACACAATGTGTGTACAAATCTATACAATCTATTAGCATCCTTATATCAAGGTAGGCTAACCCCACCTTTTCATTACTAACTTGACAATCAGCACAAAAACCATTTTTATTTTTTAACAAAACTAATTGCGATACAAGCCGTCCATGTACAACGTTTGAGGCACTGTTACCCCAATTAGGTACAATTTTACCAAACTTTGTTATCAACAGATAAGCGTAGACAGCTTAGACGCCTACGATATTATCAAGTTAATTTGACGTCTGGAATTACACTATAAAAACTGAGTGGGGCGAGATCTCTGGTGAGGCTGCCGCCAGTATAATTAAGCGTGAGTGGCCGGTGGTGGGGGGAACACTGGTGGGGGGAGCACCCCTGGTGGGGGGTGGCGCCTGACACACTTGTTGCCTACGGCGCTACGACAGGCGTCACGCAGTAAGTACTTTTGACGCCACTGTTTATCGTAAACAATACAACTAACGTGTCAACTATAAATTTAAATAATTATTGTTTCCATGGTATAGAATTGGGTATTAGGTAGGGGAATTGCTTGAATATGTAAACAAATTCAATTAAAACACGATTTATTTCACCCGCAAACACACGTAAAACTAGCGTTTCACTGAAACTAAACATGTAACATGGGTATTATAAGAATATTTATTTTCATAAACATCAAACGTTTGCACTGCACACTTAACTATACGTGAAAAAATTAAGTGTTAATTCAACTTGAACAATTCTAGTGTGAGACGACGTGACGTACTTTCCAAGATATAATAAAAAACACGCTAAAAAGTGGGACGTCCTTATGTCGATGAAAGAGTTTAAAACATTTATCTATTTTTTAATAGTTAAAATCATTAATCTATCATATTATGAAATATATTTACACAGCGATTTTTCACATGCAATATCGATGGAGTTAATTGAAAAATTGTAAGACTATAAGTTTATTTTTGTTAATAGTATTAAGGAAGTTTATGGATTTAGTGTAAATTATAAGGTATCGTGGCTAGAGTAACTAGGATAGAGAGTTAGTATCTCTATCTACTTGAAAAAAGCTGGAATGAGAATGAGCTGAGTGATTAACATAATTATTTAGCTATGAAAGGTTTCAACCATTTAATTCAAAAAAATAATTGCTAAATCGAATATAAATTAAATGTGTCATGTGTAATTATATTTTACATCTTTTAGTTTTGTTTTATTTTGGATTAATTAGAAATGTTTTAACTTAGTTTTATGAGTAGGTGACAAACAACATTATAAATATAGCAATCGAAAAATGTTTAGCCAACTAAAATATAACCTGGGAAAAAATAAGTTAACTTAATATTTGATAGATCAGCTCTAAACAGCAAACAAGTTGATTACAATTTTATTATTGTTGTTTAATATTATAGCTGGTTGTATTCCAATATTACAGGAATATTATAGAATACGCGTTCAAAGACTTTTCTATGTAGCCACGTTGATGATGTACAAATCAACAAGACGATCAAATATGTGTAAATATGTTATATTTTGGATTGATTTGGAGCATAGATCGATTGGATCGGTCGTAGTCTCCAATTGCGGTGAAAGAAGAATCAAATTACCGATAAGAGGATGTAGATTGGTACAAATCGATACAAATACAGAAAAAAACATCAAGTTTCTCTATAATAAAAATTAGGATGGGTTACTCACAGTGTTTTCAGATTGTTGTATATAGAGGAAGAGAAATGCAATATTACAAGTCGATAGTTTCAAAATAATTGTGGCATGTATGGTGTTAATTTCAACGTAAAAATTGAATAAATTACCAAAAGAGGGAGTACAATAGGGGGGGGGGAATGAGATAGTGATATTATGTTATCATCCAACAACACATTTGCATTATGCCTGAGGAAGAATAAAGTGTATATGGCTGTATTTATTAACTTTCAAGTGTTTTGTGGTTGGTTTAACAAATCGTATAAATCAAGGGAAAATTTCATGTCACTGACCAAAGAAGAGAACTATCCAATTAAAAATAATTGATAACTCCGTGAGTTCAACTAAGGAATCACTGAACAAATTCTAAAACTTCTAGTTTTTATATTGTATTCACCTTAAGGCAAAGAAAACGATTAACACTACGAGGATTCCCTAGTATGGCTTATTCAAAATTATCTAACTGGGCCAAAGTTAAAACTCGAGTATTTTGATGAAAACAATCATTTCCCCGTATATTTTATTTAAAGGGGGAAAATAAGAAAATTACTGATAATTCCTCAGAGAGTAATTTTATACCTATATGTTTTTAAATGTTTCCATTAAATAGTTATTGAACTTAATGTATACATATTTGAATACATACTTAAAAATAAATACATATAATGAATAGATGTTTATTTTGTATAAAGATTAGTTTTACATTTACTCCTTAATTCTAGAAAATCTATGCAGTTAACTGCTTAACTTAGTTCAAACATTATAAGTTATATCATTCTTGCAATCTGAGGAAATCTTTTGAATGAAAAAAGGGCTTAATTAGGATAAAAGACTTAACTATTTCTAAAATAGTGCAATCGTATCTACATTATAAGTTTTGACTTATTATGTGAATATGTGATACACGATTGGATTGAATTAAATATACCTCTTAGCAAAACCAACAGTATGATGATGATGATAGTAATAATAATATGGTAGTATGGTCTAGAAAACCATATTATATTACCATATTAAGAACCGAACCTGTTTTAACACACTTTTATGCGTTTTTATTGTTGTAAAAATCAATAACTCTTTTTCTTACAACTACTTTTACTAATTCAAAATTCCCAAAAAGGTATTGCATAAAATTAATCAACAAGTAAAATTTCACTACACTTGTGTGTGTAATTTACATTTTAACTGACACAAACTAAACACACTCCACAAAGTTTAATTATTCTCTGTAATGTTAACGATAAACATCTTATGACACAGGTTAATGATTTACCATGCTAAGTTATTTGTAATAGTTGATAATAGAATTTTATGTATTATGAAAATTATTAAGGTTTTGGACGCAGTTAGAGCATTTTGTACAGGCAAAACAATTCAGTCCATTGGTAGCAAAATAATATAATTACTTTTTCAGTACTGATAACTAACGAAATTTAGATTATTATGGCTAATGTATTTACTGCTATATTAGTTTCAACACTATGTATTAAATTATGCATTAATGAATGCACTTTTTTCTTCATACAAAATATACGTTTTGATTGTCACATTTCTAAAATATCTATCAAATTAAACCGTAGAAAAACGAGTGCCACACAACTAACTGGTTCAATGTATTATTGCGTTTTGTTTCAACAGTATGCGCCAATCATCTACCAAGAATTTCAATTTGTTTGTTTACCCTCATTTGAAATTGGAGTTTGCCTTTATGAAACCGGGAGAATGTATTATTTTGTATTGTTTAGCACCTTCCAAAAAATGTGTAATTTAATAGGAGAACATATTTTTGTATGCTAAGGGATTATATAAACCGATTATAAATTGAGTCCCTAGCTTAGAACTTAAAACATTTGGGATTGCATTATTTAACACGAGCCTTGAAATTTGTTACTGATATGAGAAAATGTAATTTCATATTAGGAATGAAGTGTACATTTATTTTACATGCAGGATGGTGCTTAAAAACTGGAAGAATTTATCATTGAATTTTATTCATCTCCTGAATCGTCTACAACATTTCATACTCGGTATAAGATAAACAAAAATATTTTTGTTTTTTTGAGCGGAGCGAAGCGAAGCTCTTTGAAGCCAAATTTAATGTAAACTTTCTAACACATTAACTCAATAACGGCTCAACATATTTTAGCCAAACTTGCCAAGGTTGTTTTGACGAATATTTGGAAGGTTTAGACGAAACCAATTTAAATTTTTATATTGACTATATAATTTAAATGTAACTCAAAGTTTTTAATTTTTAACATTGGCCTTATGGGTTGACATGGTTACAAAATAACGACGTAAATATAAACAAAACAAATAATAATAGCAGATGTTAAATTTCAAGCCACGACCTAAACACAGTGCAAAGGAAAAAAATCGGACGATGACCACTGATCGAATGGATACAGTATTTTACAAATTCGATTTAAGTAGCTAAAAAAGGTTGTAACAAATAACATTTATCTTTTGTTACTGGGAATTAAAATAACTATAGCTTGGTATTCTCAAATCAATATTATTATCAAAAAATTGCCATTATAAACATGCTTTCTTATTATTTAATTTAAAATATTTTTGATGATATCATCGTGTTCGAGTTGGCAACACACTTGGTGTATATAATTGGCAAGAAGGATAAAGTATTTTTTTTCGTTTTCGTTTTAAAATAATATACAATAATTCGCATAAGAGTGTCATGGTCATACTAAGGAAAATTTCAGAATGCATTCTCAAAAACGGCCTGATATTTGTAGAAAATGAACACGAGCAATAAACGCCCGAAACGCACCAACAACTAGGTACTTCTGGCAATGTTTTGAGATAGTTAAATGGAGAACACTTGCTTGAAAACAATGTTTTTAATAATTATTTAAAATTGAAAAAAAATAAGAAAACAAACCTCATTAGGTACGGCGACAACTATTTGTGGAATTCTCTCAAAGCAGGCAAATCTTTAAAAAGTTATACCATTAGTCAAAGGTTCTACATATACGATGCTAATCGTATTGATCCATGCAGGATTATTACTGCCTAAATTGCAAAATCTGACCAAGATTGAGAAAATTTCTGTTGGTTTAGGTTCCATTATTGGGTTTAACCAGATGACATTAGCAAGCAAACACAGGAAAATACCGATACAAAGGATATGTATGTAATGTCCACATCTTTACTTATGAAATTTGTTATAGATGCTGATAGTTCTGAGCGAAACTGATAAGTTAAATTGATAAAACAGTTTTATTTTGTGTTATGTCTATACACATTTTTTATTTATTCCTTTATTAAAAACCCTGAAACGTGATCGCTCCGCTCAACTGGCTTTCACCGCTATGAAAGCAATCATAGTAAGGGTGAAATACCATAGATTAATTTGATAGCTAATAATGGCCAAAATAAATTTCTGAAAACCGGGGGATGTGTTATTGCGTTTTAATGAAGACGCCAACAAAAAACTTGTTCCACGAACTTTGTTGCAAAACATAATTAAAATAGACGAATTTCCTTATATTAAAAGGGAAAATCCCCAATTAGAGGTTTAAAATGGAAGTTAAAATGTCTGCAAAGGCTGATTACTTTTTTAAGAGATTTTTAAAATTATAAAAGGTTTATTGATCTACTACTGGATCGTATGTTGTTTATAGATAAACATGTTTGTATGCTGTAGGAGTTTACACCATAACAAGACCCTACCCTCTCTATCTCTTTACCACCCCACACATAATATTGTTTGTCACATCTCAACCTTCTACAAATCTCATTAATCTAATGGACATATAATCGGATTCCATGAGACTGAAGAGTGTGTTCTGATCGTTCCGTTAAAATAGTCGATGGTTTGGTTTTAATGAGATATATTAATTATAATTTTAAAATAAACAAGAAGTATGTTAAGTTACCCGAAAATTAAAATTTAATATGGTCATGGTACGATTAACAAAACTACGATCGCGGACTTTTTTAGTATTAATGATATATGTATAATGTCTTATGACAATTAATGATTATATTAATATGTACTAGAGGTCGTCCACTGGTCGAAAACTCGACCAAAAATGTAATGTACAGCCTTCTCTATTTCCCCCCACGCTGTAAATGAAACATGTGATGATTGTGTAGCAGTCTTCCATTTGTTTTGGTTTATTTATTGTTGTTATTTCGTCACCAGCATGGCAACCTATAAGGCCCATATAATTTTTTTTAAATTTATAAATTAATTTTTTGTGCTTATTTTTTAGCCTATTTTACCTTATAAAGAGATTCTGGACATCAAATCAAATCAAATCATTTTATTAGGCCAAATTAACAATTGTACAATTTGCATTAGCCAGGTCAATACAAATATGCTATACTATACATCAATTACTAATATTTTCTAATATTTACAATAATAATTACAAATTAGAGCTTTCAAAACATTTCAGGAATTCTTGGACGCTATAACAGGTTATACTTAGCAATTTATGTTCTAATTGTTTTTTGAATTTTGAAAGGCTTGGTTCCAAGGGATAATGGAAGTGAGTTGAAAAGCTTTATGCCAATGTACAATGTGTGTTTTTTGATAAAAAGAAGTTTTGTGTTTAGGAATTGGCAAGTTAAATGAATTGCGCAATGTGTATTGATTTTCAGTAGAGATGTCAAATTCAGGAAAGTTTTGTTTCAAAAAGGTCAAAGTTTCTAAAATGTAGATGGAGGGAAAAGTCAAGATTTTTGAATTGAAAAAGTACTCTCTGCAGGATTGACGCTTACGCAAGGAGAAAATAGTTCTCACAGCCATCTTTTGGATTTTGAAAATAAATTTGGTTTGTTTGCTCTCAAATCCCCAAATTGCAACAGCATATATGCCAGATGAGGATAAATGACATCTACAGTCAAAAAGCTTTCCAACAGTATCCGTAGATTTTCCCTGAGATACTGTATCAGGTACAATTATTATGGAAATATTGCATATTTTTTGGACAACTGAGTAATATAGTTAAACAGTTAATTTACAGTTAGATCTCAGCATCGAATATGTGGTCCACAACGAGTTGGGTGAAAAAGTGGTTAAGAGGTTTTCAAAATAAACCAGAAGCAAGTTTTCATTTATCAATTTAACCTTATTTTGTTTCGTCCATTTTTAATTGCCGGTATGTAAATTCATACCTTTGATTCGATTTTGGTGGCAAAAGATTAGCACAAACAGTTTGTGCTCTCATTTCCATCTCGTCAACTTCACTTTCACTAACTGGCATTTTTATATCAGTTTAATCTACCTTCCTTTAACTTCCACTGACTTTGGTTGAATACGCGAGTATCAACAGGAACAAGGGTTATAGTAATATGTTTTCTGTGGAACAAGTCGGATCAACAATTAGAATTGTCAACTGATCAGCTGATCAGCTGATTAGTTGACGTTCGAGGCATTACAATTTTACTTGTTTTCTCTCAATCCTTGAACCTCATTGGTCCGTTACCCGTGTTGTTATGAGAAAAAATATGCTGTTATGAAATGAAACTATGCTGTTATGAAAGTAAACAGCTGTTAAGTGAAACTTTTCAATTCTAAGAACTGAACTGAAATGGCCACTTTAAAAAAACAGTCGTAGGTAAAAATGTATAATGTCTTATGTAGTATTAATGATTATAAATATATATATATAATGTGTTATGAGTATTAATGATTATAATATGTACCTATAGTATAAATGTCGTATGAGTATTAATGATCCTAGTCGCTAATTGTTTAGACTAGGATCAGCTTAGGATTATTTATTAAAAGTACAATTCGGTCCAAAGTAAAAAGTCGGCCCCTTGCTATTCACTATTAACATGTACTCCATCGACTCAACATGCTTAACAGTCACCACTAAATGTTAATAAAATATCCGTGGTTATTGTCTATTACCAATTCTTTAGAATGTAGTGAAAAAATTAAATTCATAAAATTTGGTTCTAGCTGTTATACAGCCAAATCAAGGTGGCTATGCAAGTTAAATTTATCTCAGTTTCCAAAGACAATAGAATAATTAATCACTTGAACAGATTGTTCTCGAATTTAGTAAAAATTACTTTCACTGCATTACCTCCGGGTATCGATTGAAATGTCTTTGGTTTAACAATATCTTATAATGTAACAAATATTTTTATGTACATATTCGATTTTACCATACTCCACTTTTATATCATAGTAAAAGCGGTGTTAACAGAGCCACGGTGAGATTTCAAGGTCACACGCTCACGCGAGTTCAAATGGAGAACAAAGACCTCAGCGACCCTTGAGTATCACGCAAACATTGCACACGCGTGGTTCAAATACTTTGTCGATGGAAATAAATAACGTTCTTTGTCAAACTCTCTAGAACAGTGAACAGAAATACGTAATCATCTAAGATTTGTTTTAGGGTTATATGTAATGTTCCAAATTGATTCATTTAAAGTTGATTTGCAGAGGTGAAAATAACTAAATATTACCATTAACTACTTGGTGTAAAAGTAAAGTTTTATGTAAATAGGTTATTATTGCAAAGGTTTAAGTTACCTCAAGAGAGGACTTGAAATCCCAACTTCACCAGTAGTTATTCATTCATTACATTTTCTTATTTTCTACGTGTTTATGTTTATCTACTATAACCTTTGACTATCAATTGCAGGCGTTAAATTTTAAATTAAACCTTGTTATACAAAATCATTTTTCTTGTTAAATAACTTGTTTGTATTTCGTGTGAGTTCATCGATCGTTACAGACATTAATTATTACTTTTAATCAGGGAACAATCCAAAACCATGGTCTCTTAACTTCCCTATAGTGAATAAGCTATTGCCGTAGGTCTCATCGTAAGACCTGGCCCGAGATCTATTTACCTTTTCGTTTTGATGTCCCTAGAGGCGAAAAACATCATCCGTTTAAATTCATGTGTGTCCGTTAACACTATAACTCGAGCAAAAATGGTCCAATTTCGATTAAATTTGGTACAAACGTGTAAACCTACACGTTTATTCGAACGAGTTCGCGAACCAGCATGATCGGACAATGGGGACGGGGTTTAACCGGGTAAAAATTGGTTTTCCCATTTTTTACCCTAAAAACTTCAAATTTTCCAATTTCTCTCTAAACCACCATAAAAGCTTAAAAACAAGTAATTTAGTAAATTAAAATTAAAATATCTTTGAATTTTTTAAACGATCTTAATGAAACTTGATATGTATGTTGAGGTAGAAGAGACCCATGCTAGAAAAAAATCATCTTGATTCAAGTTAAAATTTCAAAATGTCGGCCATTTAATCTTTTAAACTCAAATTACTAAAATATGGCTGATTTTATGAAAAAAATGTCAGGAACACTTTTATTTAGCGTTTTTAATTCTCAATCAAACAATAATACCAAGTTCAAAAAGATCGAATGAGAGAAATAACTGAAATATTACGATTTTTTTTGTTCATTTCTGTTCATTTCTTGTTCATTTTTGTTCATTCAACATTTTGTTCTTGATTTTCTCTTTATAAGGAATAACTACGAAAATTATATTCCCACCTATTTTGAACACCCTGTATACACAACACAAAAAAAACACGAAAATTATATTTCCCACCTATTTTGAACACCCTGTATACACAACACAAAAAAAAACACGAAAATTATATTCCCACCTATTTTGAACACCCTGTATACACAACACAAAAAAAAAAACACAAAAATTATATTCCCACCTATGTTGAACACCCTGTTCTGACTTGTAAAGAAAACTTGACTGTATAGAAAACTCAATAGCTTTACAAGTTTTGTACTGTATGCAATGCTTTTAATGCAATGCAGGAACCTTTGTGTCCACCAATCTTTGTGTGTTCCAGAAACATTGATGTCCACCAATCTTTGTGTAATTCAGAAACCTTAGTGTCCACCAATCTTTGTGTGATTCAGAATCATTGATGCCTGCCAATCTTTGTGCGATTCAGAATCATTGGTGTCCACCAATCTTTGTGTAATTCAGAAACCTTGGTGTCCACCAATCTTTGTGTAATTCAGAAACATTGATGACCACAAATCTTTGTGTAATTCAGAAACCTTGGTGTCCACCAATCTTTGTGTGTTTCAGAGGGGGATGAAGCGTTATGACTTAATCTTGGATGAACCAGACAGGGTGTACTTCTCTGGAGATGACGTCAAAGGTCATGTAGCAGTTTGTCTCGACACCAACCTGACTGTTCAAGGTGATTTTCAGTTATTTGACTTGAATATCAGACGAGATTGAGTGACTTGGCTGGAAGTCTTAAGGATTTAGTGGCACTGGTTGTATGTAATGAATATTTAATTGTGGGGAATTATACATAACAAATATTTTTTACCATCCCTAACAGCGTAGGGGGTAGGGGGTGACATATTTTTTTCAAATAGCAACCCCTATTGAGTGACCCCTCATTTTGAAGGGTTTGTCTAAAGAAACACCATGATGCAAATCCGAGGTGAATATCTCACCCCTAGCCAAAATGGCGGGTATTCCAAAATGGGTGCTTTTTCACATACATTAAATTTTGGAATACTGTACCAGCCATTTAGGCTAGGGGTGAACTATCTACCTCAGGGTTGCGTCATTGTTTTTTTTTTAACAAACCCTTCAAAATGAGGGCTCGCTCAATAGGGGTTGTTATTAAAAAATAAGTCACCCCCACCCCCTACCCTGTTAAAGGGGTTGAAAAAATATTGTTGATGTAAAAAATTGCGGAACCTATGTTAACAATCAATTCCACAAACAGAATATTTCTATCTATTTCGGTTTCAAAAATACAGATTTCTTTCCATTATTTGTGAAATTGGTGCTTTTTCACATCAGTAAATCCAATTTTGGAATACCTGCCATTTTGGCTAGGGGTGAGATATGAGGAGTCACTCAATGGGGTTGCTATTTGAACAAATAAGTCACCCCCTACCCCCTACCTTGTTAGGGGGGGGGGTATAAAATATTTTGGATGTAAAACATTGCGGAACCTTTTTTAACAATTATTGCCACAAACAGAATAATTCTATCTATTTCGGTTTAAAAAATACAGATTTGTTTCAATACTTAATTTACACACGTGTATGTCATGAGTGGAAGATTGAATGCTAGATGGATTTGAATGGCTCAGTTGTGTGTCATAATCTTTAAGAATAATACAGATTGTATGTTCCGTGGTTTTAATGGCTCGTTGTGTCTGTCATGTAGATTTTGAAAGGCTCAACGAATTGAGCCTTGAATGGCTCGTTTTGTATGTCATAAAGCTTTAAGAAGCAAAGACTGTATGTCCCATGGATTCAATGGCTCAATTTGTATGTTATGAAGATTTGAGTGGCTCACTTTGTACTTTATGATTTTGCAGAATTCTTTTGTCTTGTCGCAGCCTTGTATTACAGGTGGCTATGACCATTGACTGTTATATAGTCAATTCTATGACATCAGTGGTTATTTTAGTATGTTAAAAGAGTTTAGGATATTATTGAATAGGTAAAATTATATGTCACGAGGTTTAATTTGAATTTTATATAAATTTAAGAGGCTCAGTTTATATAGATCACATACAGGGTTGGAATAAGTTCCAGTACAGTTAAAATACTAATTTAAAAAAATAATAAGATAGAACTACAAAACCTGGTCCAAAAGTTACTATAGGGATTAAAATAATTTTAACGCAGCATTCAGTGATACGCTACCCCCCCCCCCCCCCACCAGGGTGACGGCCCGCTAGAAGACAGAATAAAATCTTAAATGTAAGCATAGGTTGATATTCGCATAAAATTCAAGTCCTTTCCTATTAGAATACAATGCCGTCAATTTTAAATCAAACAGACAACCAAGTCGAAAATGGCAGCCATTCCAAAATTTATTGAATCTGCCATTTTGAGTCATTGAACAGCTGCTATTTTTTACTCATTGTTCTTTTGAGCTCAAATTTGCAGAATTGCATTCTTCTAACTAAGACCTATAGTTTGACCTACGCTTATGATTAAGATTTTCCTCTGACTCCTAGCGAGCTGTCACTCTGAACATATGTTAAATTGACTTTTGTGCCCAGTACTGTATCTTTGTACCAAGTATTGTAGCTCTATCTTTATTATTATTTTTTTATATTCAACTGTTCTGGGACCTTTTTCCACCCTGAACAAATAATGCAAATAATATATACCAGAAACTTTCATAGGTATCACTATTCGGCTGATTGGCGAAGCTTGTATTGCAGTTCCTGACAACTTCAAAACTACAAGAACGGTTGGCAGAAGAAAGCCATTTAACAATAAAATGTAAGTATCTATTTCATCAAGCCGATAGAAATTAATAATTGATTGTTTATTTAATAATACAATTATTCACGGTATTTTTATAACTTGAAAGCACAAAAATACGTCAAATACAAATAACAATTATGATAATACATTTACACTTATACTGTTTAGTAACAAGACAGTAACAAGACAGTAAATAATACAATAGGCGAAACCTTCATGTGTGTAATTTCAGGTATTTTGAAGACCACTATATTCCTATTCATAACTTTTAACGGTACCTATATCTAAGTTAGGGCTACCTCCAAACAACCAGAAAGAAAATACAGGGTTTTCATAGAATAATGGTGGGGTTTAGTTATGAAATAAAAAGGAAACGAGAAAGAGATACAAAAAAAAAAATATTTATTTATTTGAATTCCTGACATCAAAAATATTTAGAACATAGCTAATAAGATTCAACATGACAACCATTTCTTGCTATATGGACGTCCAGACGATGATCTATTTCAGCCCACATGTGCACATTTCTCTCAGACTGCATCTCTGGTTCTTTCTAGTAGATATGGGCTAATTATTGAGTTTTTTTTAGATTAATCTATGTTTTTGATATCCGAAATAGCCGTTATACTAGAGTCACTACTTTAGTTCACTTAGTTACACACTTAGCCTTTTCTTGACTGTTTCAATTAATGAAAGGCAAACTATTTGAGCTACCGGATGCAGGGGTATCAATATGAAACATTTAATTTGTCTGATAAAATTTTAACAGACAGTTAAAACCCCACCATTATTTTATGAAAACCCTGAATATGTTTGAAAATGCCAATAGAAAGTGTAATATACCTACAATTAAGACTAAGTGTTGACTATGTGCTGTGGATTGCCTGTTAGCAGCCCGAGCCCTGCAGTCCATGGAGAGAGACCACCTCGCAGACTGGGTCAGACCAACACACTCTTCCGTCAGGACAAGGTGTACAGATTCAGTGCCACCGAGAGGTACTTCCACTTCAAGGAGTATCTCTTTGGCCACAAGTATAGTAGTAAGTTTATAAAATACATAGTAGTATACAGGGTGGGGCACAGAGCACCCCCAATCATCTTTTGCTGTCACATGATAAATAATTCAACAATGAGTGAACAGCTGCGCTTATAGAATCAATTAAACGATACCATTATAGTAATCTCTGTGCTTTTGTGTTATTAACACTGTGATTTTGATGTGGAAACCTTTTTTAAAATAGTGACAAACACCCAGAGATTGTTTGGACCGCAATCCAAATCGTTGGTCGACATGGCGCTGATCCAGGTTGGAAAACTTTAGGGAGCTGGGTAAAATTATTTATGGTCACATCTCAAACCCTCAAAATAATAAGTCCACATCTAGAAGAAAGGATCATAGAATGATTCAAAGACCAATGGAAGCCGCAAAACTGTTTGTATACTAGCAAATGTAGAAAGAGTGAGTCGCTGTAACTCACTAGGTAAGTCCAAAGAGGTTTGCCACTTCTTTATTTCTTTCTTTGGGGGTTCTCAATATAAGCTTGTTAAAGGGTTTTCAAAGTCTCTCCAGAGAATTGCTTGAACTGAATTAATTAAGCTAAGAATTGTCTGGGAAATTAAATTGATTCCTGAAGAAATGAAACTGATGGAATTTTCAAGCAACTAAAAAGGAATGTCAAGTAGGACAAGAATGTCACTTTATGATATGATTTTAAGAAATAGAAAAATGATTCGGTCAAGTTAAGCTGTGTTTTGATGAGCTAATGTTCAGGGTAAATAGTATTGAATTCGTACTGTTTATGAATTGGGGCACTACCTTTTCCTCCTGAAGTTTCAGGATTTAGCTTGGGTGAGGAATGTATTAAAGAGCATAGGGTGAGCTAGAATACAGAATTATCAGTTGGCAATTTGTGAGTCACAGGGATATCTTGATATATTAAGCATCACTGCACTGTGTCAAAGATGATATAGCTTGGAGACAACAAGTATAACAGAGAAGAGACGAGAAGACAAAAAGAAGAGAAGAGAAAAGAAGAAAGTAGTTCAATTAGCGATACCCAGATGATCTACAGTATGTAGCTTAAGAATGCTTTGCTATAGTTCGGCCGCTTAGAAAACGACCTCCTCCAGCATTGGTTTACCATTAGCGCGCAGGTCGTTTTCTAAGCGGCCGAGCTATAATGTTGACAACATTAATTTCTATGTCCAAAATTTTCATTAACGAGTTCAAGGTAATTCTAATAAACCAATTTATTGCAATCATCTAAGTACATTGGACTCTGATATATTTAGGTAGTAATATATATTTAGGGTCGTAATAGCATAATCCAAATTCAACCAAAACAATATTCAGGGATGCTTTAATAAATGAGTCGATGGGTCCGAGCCCAGTGGAAGGGGGTTCAAGTTTGTAGGGGATGCCAGGAAGAGAAAAAATTCCATAAGGTGGAGAGGGGCGCAATTACTTCTGTGGAGAGGGGCGCAAATATCTCTTGGGCCCATAGCACAACAAATACAAACTGCGAGACTGAATACACACACTTGAATACTTCTCTTCTGCCATTGAATACTTTGGGACATAAGGGCAGTTAATAACGCTCCCAGTTCTTTGCAATGCCAATCCACAAAAAATACGATGCAAAGAGGCTTTTAGAGGAAACAACAACATCTTATCTATCCCACAGCTTCCTATCCACAACAATCCACCTTTAGAGTTGAATCAACTAAAGTTGCTTTACCAATGTTTTGCAGGTTAATAAAATAGCCAAAGAGCTTAAATAGGTACATGAGGTAAAAATTTTCTTTTTAAGGCAAATATGAATAATTTATGTATTGGCTTGGTTTACAAGAAACTGCATGGGCATATTAAGTAAGAATATAGGTTGCACAGTACAATCAATTTAAAGATATCCGTTAGGAAAACAAGTTCAAGTCCAAAACCTTATTGTTACTTTCGACCGAGATTATCCTATTTGCGCTAGACCATGACTCGTGAACCTGAAAAGTTTATATTTTTGGCCAGGGCTCTATTTGGACTCGTGAAAATGACTTTTTACGCTCGGGTTTATCGCTGTAATAATTGGGTGAAGTTTATCTGTCTGCGCCTGAGCGCTGACAACCTCGTACTCATGAACCCGATTTCTAAGGGGCGGCGCAAAAATCTATAGTTATAACTGGATTTTGCGCTCGGACTTAGGATAAACCGTGACTTGTGAACCGCCTCCTAGGGTCACAAACCTGACGACCTTAAAGTTCATCTTAGCCAAAACAGCAGCAGTTTATGATCACAATATTAATCACTTACTCGTTGTTTAGGTTTCAAAGAACAGCTGTGGAAAGGTTCACACACTTTCCCATTCCAGTACAAGCTGCCAGCTCAACTGCCGTCTTCCTTTAACGGCCGGTTTGGTTTCATCCGCTACTACTGCGAGTCTTCCCTGGAGCGATGGCAAAGCAAGGACACTAAGCGAGTGTACTTCAGTGTCTCCAGCTTCACTGACATCAACAACGTGTCTAAAGCTGATGTGAGTCCTTAACAATACCAGAAGTATACTTGTTATTTTGTTTAGTTTCTGTTAGTTGGTGTTTAGTCAAAAACATTGCGTTTGTATCTGCTAGTGCCTGCACTTTTTAGTCACTATAGCACATTCTGTGACTGGCTCACACAACTATGTTCTTTTTAGTAAAAAAATTACAACAGTTCATTGACAACAGCTCAATGACACCCCCACAGAACTCCAGCTACTGGACAGCTAGTATTTATAAAATGTCTTTATAAGCATGATCTATTTCATGCACCAAACTCTTTCCAGTGTTCATCGGCAGATGAGAAGTGCACAAACTCGTGTTTCTTCTGTGTTCCTCGAGGAACCATCATAGCCTCATGTGAGATCAAACATCGCGGCTTTGCTTGCGGCGAGACAGCAAACATCACAGTGGACATCCACAACATGAGCAACAATGATGTCATCAAGACAACAGCTTCCATTATACAGGTGATTTTTATGTATTCAAGCAAACTTTTATATCCACTTTGACTTTGTTATATGAACCCATAAGGCAGTTGTAGTTGCAGTTCAGTTGTAAATATATAACTTGTAAATTTTTTATTACTTCTGTTCTGCGCTGCAGGGGAACAAGCTGCGGTCTAGTGGTAGAGCATGAGACTTCGGTCCTGGGATCGAATCCTGCCAATCACCAGTGGATTATGATTATATATTCAAGTGATAATGCTATAACCCTCTAGGCCTAGTTGTGATAATGTGAAAATAGTTCCGAGGCTAGAGCTTATAGCGTCATAGGATGTTAAGGTGGGAGCACTCCTAATGACTCGCAGCACCCCAGGAGAGTCCCCCCTTAAGCCATGTATGTATAAATTTATCTCATGACAGCAAAATAACTTTCCACCACCTTGCCACACTGATTAATAAATTACCAAAAAATTGTCCTTCACAACACCATGCCCACGACTGCCAGAAAACCTAGACTATTTGTTTCAACTTGACAAAAAGAGGACTTATTTCATACCCCCAATCCTAACAGTTCAAACTTACTCGTTACCTACCAGCCTTTGCAATATTATGTCTCTCTTATCTTGCATTCATTTGTTACTTGATGGGTCAAAATAACTCACACTGTATGAGCAAAATATTCATCACCTTCATAATAATTTCTTAAACTAGAATGTTCAACAGTATATGGTACATGGTTCAACAGTCATGGTAGACTTAACTGTTGATTCCTACCTAATCTTTAGATAATTCAGACGTTGTTAAACTGCTGGTGAAAAGGTTGGCCGATGTTTTTGTGTGTCACAGAAATCCATCTAAAACTTCAACCAGCATTTAGATTTACCACAGCTTAATGACGTGCAGTTATCTCCTGAAGACCAAAAGTTGACAAAACCAAGCTATCCAAATGTAACCCAAACTTTGTTTCCAGACTGTCACATATTCGTGTTCACAAAACTTGCGCCACCAGGAGAATGAGAGGACAGTATTGAGCCACGAGATGAATGCTGTTCCTCAAGGGGAGTCAGAACATACGGTTGTTAAACTCAAGATTCCACCGCTTCCTCCTTCCTCTATAAGTCAGGACATTTGCAAGCTGATCCAAATCCATTATAGATTTGAGGTGGGTTTTATTTTGTTGTTTTCATCATAATATAACTGCTATATAATTTACTTGACTGAAAAAATCCTTCAGTCTTGTTACTCAGGAGTGTTATAAGTGCTATTTATAACCTCAGTGACAAAAACTAAAATGGTATCCTTTTATCAGATTCTTTGAAACTCTTTTTTAGTTCTCCGATGTCAATCATCACTAACCTGTTAGTTAGTTCCTCTTTGAGTTGGTTGACATTTTTGTCCTAAAGAATGATAGATTATTGATGGACTCAACTGTCCTCGATCATTGGACATTAAGTAAATGGTACTGGTTAGAGAAACCAGTCCTTTCACTTTTTACTTGGACTTATTAGGTTGTTTTTGCTCTTATTCTGTTTGTATACGTAATGTCCTCTATATACGTGTCCTAAAAAGGCATATTAAAAGACATCCTATCGCTATAGCAAAGCATAAACTTAATACCTGGATAGGTTAATATAAATTTATATTAAATTTGTTTCAGATTGGTATGGATATGCATGAGGCAAAGGAGCGGTTAGTGCTTCAGATGCCGTTGGTTGTGGGAAATATTCCTCTGAGAAAAAATTTTGAAAATCTAGAAAATGAATCAATATACAAATATGAAAAACAGTTTTTTATACCATTCAGACTACACAAGCAAAGAGGACTTCGTAAGTATTTAGTTTATTAGTAGTGTTTGGTAAAGATAAAACTCTTTAGGATCCTATATGAGTATATCAATAAATACGCCCATGCATTACTTACAATAAAAAGTCGACACAGTAAATAATTACAGTCTACTTTGATTTAGACCCAGGTAGAAGTAAAATATATGAACAAGACCCCCTACCACACTTAAATTTACACATGTACTTATTTCACATTGATTCAAAACTGTTTTCTTGTTTTGTTATTGTTAAATGTTACAATGTTAGTCATCCTGAGTTTTGTACTAACATATTTGATTTGTATAGTTTTAAAATGGAGATGTCCGTTGGAATGAATAATTAATAAATCTATGTGATTATATTATCAGTCTCTTGAGCTCTTAAACAGAACCATCCAACTAGTTTTCCATAAGTACTCGATTTTATGAACGGTTTTCTCTAATTCCATAAAAGTTTCCTATTGTTTTTATATTATTTCTAGCTCAAGTGTGGAGTGAACCTAGTGAAGTCCCAGAGGCAGAAGAATGTGTTTACGAATGCAATGACTTTCACCCGGCTTATCCGTATTACAGGGAAAAATCTAAACCAATCCTTCCAAAAGAAACTAATGTGTAACCAACCACAGATGTCTTCTGTACTTGTCAAGAAAAGAATGCAACTCAGGACCAGAATAATGTGTGGCTTATCTTAACAGTGGCTTGCTTTTGTGATATTATACTCGTCAAGGCTATTTTTCTATATTTATTTTGAAGTTTGTAATATTATAATATGAATAAGCGGTCTAGAGATTGTTTTTATAATTCCCTTGGATAATTTTAATCGTTCTTAAGTTGTCAATTTGAGACATTCACAACCACTTTACTTTGAACTCTCATAGTATAAGGTAGATTTCATAGTAAGACCACAAGTATTTCTTTCCTATTCCCTGACTATGTCTTAAAACTTTAAGTTCCTACAGAGAAAATATAGATTGTCTGTGGTTATTATCACTAACATTCACAGTAATTAAAATTTGTCCATACAAAATACATTAACCTATCCTGTACACAAATAATAGTTTTCATAGTAAAGAAGTAATATTTTTCAAAAACATGGGCGTCCACAGGGGGGTGCAAGGGGGTGCGCTTGCACCCCCTGGCTAAAAAAATAAGAAATAAATGTAATACCCAAAAATTTTCTGTAATCACTTTTAGTAATCAAAAGTGGGTTTTAAGAAATTTTATAAAAGTACGTTTCATAATGGTCATTTCTAAAAATGTTTTAAATTTATGTTCACATCAAATAAGTAGTCGTCTCAGAGATGTACGATTCTTATACTTTAACAACACCATTCACAAAAAAACAAAACATATAACTTTCTTGGTTGTTTTCTAGGCTTGATTTAACATATTTAAAAAACGTTTGGAAAACTTATGACAGCTAGCCTGACCATACTACTGGACCGAATTATACACGGGGTGTACCAAAAGAAAGGTACACTTATATGCAAAAAAGGATAGCTTAGGAAAGGAGGCTTTATATGCAGGTTTTATTTGTATTTTGAAAATATTTCTGCTATGGAGATTTAACGTGGGGCTATTTATATATATTAATAGACAAACATGTTTATTGAAAAACTTTTTTCTCAGCTCCTGTGCATTGCAGGTAAAATCTACACAAACTGCTCGAAAGATATTTGCCTGTAGATGTGCAGAATCTAACTAATATTATAAATGTGAAAGTTTAAGTGTGTTTGTTTGTTTGTTTGTTTGAAGTTCAATCACGCATTAACTACTGAACGGATTTGACTGAAATTTGGCATGACGATAGCTCACATTCCCGATTAACATATAGGCATATTCTTATCTCAAAAATCCTTTCGGGCTCCGCCCCAGTGGCTCTGTAGTTCCCCGTGTTAACCTTATGAGTATTCATATTTAAAGGGAATTAAAGAATTTAGTCAGCTGTTGGTTCTTAAGAAGTTGGTTCTATGATATGCAAAAACATTAAAAAGTTATAAGATTTACCAACAGGGTGCAGCACTATATTTTTTTTGCATTTATGAAAACAGCTAAATTGAAATAAGCAGCAACAAAAAACTGTGATACGCAATTAGAACTAACTGTCAAAGTAGGATTGTTTACAGTTATGTTTATGTTTTTAATTTCATGAATAATTTGTGATATTTTGTGAATTTTTGATAGTTTATTTTTCTCTATTGTTTAGGTGAAGTGGTAGAACATTATGGCTATGGTAGATGTGTAATACAAATAGAATACTGTAAATTTAAAGAAGCAAATTTTATCAAACTGCGTCCTCCCTCATTGCAAACTCAAAGCTTGAGTATAACTGCAATAAGCATTTTATACTTATATATCAACCCTGTACGAAGGACGGGTACTCTGCTAGTCCTTTTATAAATTAAAATGGGCTCAAAAATAATCACAAAAAATGAATTTATTAAGTTAACATGGGCCTTATGGATTGCCATGTTGGTGACGAAATAACAACACAATATAATCAGAAAATCAAAATAATTGAAAGAAATTCCAATTACATTTTTTACTTACGGAGTGGGGTTAAATATAGAAATTTGCACAAGACATACTTTTGGTCGAGTTTTCGAACACGTGGCAAGCTCTAGTTCCACTGTAAATTAATTTTTTTTCTTAATTGTTTGGGGTAAGCCCCAGCCCCCCCTGATTTTTGTTATATATTGCAACCCCCTGTTCCAAATCCTGCAGGGGCCCATGTTCAAAAACATTAAAAGATTAACAAAAACAAAGTTAGCTTTTTTACTTTTTGTAAGAAGGGCAACTTGTCACTTTAGCAAGAATATAAACAGGACCCTCTTGTTTGAAATTTTATACCACATAGCTATTTTAATAATTCATGAAAAACAAAGAAAAACTAGGTAACTTGGCGGTACAGTACTACTAATTTGTCAACTTCTACCCTCATCCTTACATAATGGTTATCTTTGACCAAACAATACTGTATCGAACAGTTTGGAGTCGGAGGTGAGCTTTCGCTTGGGATGTTGAGGTTTGGGTATTAATGCACCTTACTAGCACAGTAGCAGATAAAGTCTCTTAGCTTGTCTAGTACACAAAGGTATTTGCTTAAAAATGTGTGTTGGCTCAATGACTAGTCCCTCCGAACATCTTGCATACTGGGTGGTTAGATAAAACAAAATTCTACGGTATATAGTAAACTGCTATTATGTATGCATGGAAAATTTGGAACAAACCTTTACCTGCCTGGTTTATACACCATATAGTTGGTATTAGCGCCTTGTAAACTTAATATACTTTCATGAGTAAAGACAGTAACAGTTAGGCCTGGTTCACACGAGCGACTTATCTAGCTGACTAGGCCGTGACTAGGTAAGCAAGACTAGGTAGCGGACCACAGGATCAAATGGAGCCGTTCACACAAGCGTAGGGCGATGGCAATCGAGCCACGTTCGAGCTTGGTGTCAGAAATCATCGTCAGGCCTGCTTCCCTGCGTGTCTCGACTCATTGCAGCTAGCTAGTCACCCACTCTAGAGGCATAGCAGTACACATAGCCTTATGGGAGAGTCCACACGAGCGGTCGGTCGTTACGCTGCAACTGTTGTTATTTTATCTCATTGGGGGTCAGGACTCTCGGAGCTGGAGGACCTGGAGAGGACAATCGAGGAGATCACCACGGGCCACGGGACCAAGAAGATCAGGAGTTTCGGAGTGCGTGTATCGGTGCGTGTGCTTCTGGGACAATAAATAGTATGTAAAAAGAATAAAATATATAACTAAAGTTTTGTCAAATATACAAGTCATATAATTTGTCAGTAACTAATTCTTTTATATTTTCAATTGATTTTCTTTTCTTGTAAATTTAACGTTGTAAATTAATTTATCTTATTATTGTTGATTTTTGCCTTTTCTAAATTTTGTTACTTTTGTTGTTTTTATAAATTTAAATTTTGTTCATTACACTTTGAGTAACACCCTTAAGCAGTCTTATGTCTCATTAACCTAACACCTCTTGACTAGGCCAAGCGAGTGTGAAACTTTTAGGAAACTTAATTTTGAAGTGAGGCATGGGACTCGCAATATCGATATTTTCATCTAGTCCGCGGACTCTTCGCTCGTGTGAACCGGTGTATTGCCGGGTCACAAAGAATGCTAGTCAATGCAAGTCAGCTAGATAAGTCGCTTGTGTGAACCGTGCCTTACATATAAATCATATTATAACAACTCTGGGCAGGGCAATTCTTATTGGGTCAATAAAATAAAATTAGAAACTAACGAACATTGATAGTTATTTTATTGTCTAATACCCCAAACAACTTATCATTAAATTAATCAAGAGATAAGACTTATTATTATTAGTGTGAATATATGTTATTTTGTGAAAAGAAAAGAATTAAGTTTGGTTAGTCAGCTACAAACATCCTTAGTTTAAAAGCAACTGTTTAACAGTTTTAGAATAAATTCCAATTGAGTATGATGTGTTATGGAAAATAATGACACGATGTTCAATCCTTTGAACTATACTCCTTTCACAAAATTTAGGCAGTTTGAGGGGAGAGAAGTTCACCCACTACTTTTTAAAGGTAGGTTCAAGTGAAGGAGATACTTACATTTTATGAACGGAATCATATTAAATAAAAAGTTATAAAATATTAGTATATTAGTAATAAACATGATTTGATGATTTGATTTGATTTAGTAGTGGTTCACAATTACACTTTGTTTCGTAAAAATAAGTTAAAACAGAACAATTTATTTGCAACATAAAACATAACAGTATATTTCATAACAAAAGTAGAAAGTGAGTCATTACATATTTGAGACTATATGTTTGATTGAAGTGCGAGATTTATCAAGCACTTTAAATATGTTCAAGAATATGTATAGACCCAGTCTCATTGTGTTTTGAAAGTAACTTTTCGCTACACACTACAAAGATATTTTTTTCTTAATTTAAACAGACATTGGATATTTCTTTATTACAGTTAGTAACATTACGAAACTCATGGCATTTTTAGGTTATGCCTTCAATTTTATTGTTAATATTTACATTGGTTTTACAGTTGACAAAACAATAACAAATCTTTGTTTGTTTACATTGGCAAAATCAAAAAGAAGATAGTAAACATTACTTTCACATATAGTCCATCCAGTCATATTAGGGTTTTAGGTGGAAATAATTCCCTAAGAGGTGAAACTTTGCACATGTGTAGTACTAGTACCCAGTGACAACATATCCATCTTGAAAAATAGCGGCCGATTGTCACTTTTTTGCCCATATTTGACTAATTGTTGGAAATACAGAAATCTCATTTGAACAAATGTTAAAGAACACACAAAAATACATCCTTTACTCATTTACATATTTGCCCTATCTCAAACAGTTATTGAGAAAAATTAAAATAAATATACTGTATAAAAACATTAATTTTGTTTGATAGGCTATATTATATAGAGAGAGATAACTTGAGTTATGTTTGTCTGATTTTGATGAAGTTTGGCTTGAAGGTGTATGGTGGGTTAACCTTGAATGAGTTCGTGAACCAGCATGATTGGACAATGCTAACGGGTTTTTATGGGGGCTTATAAGTATTGTGTAAAAATTGGGTGTTCTAATTTTTTATCCTCAAAACACGAAATTTCCCAATATATGTCTAAACCATTTTGAAGACCTTGAAAAAACAAATGATTTAGTATGTTTAAGTTTTTGTACCCTTATTGGTTATGGAGAAAAATAAAAAAAAATATAAATTTATAATTCCTACATTGTTCTTATAGAGAATATTGTAAACTGTTGCGGTTTGCTTGTTTATGGATATATATTTTAATCAAACTTCATAAATTGTTTTATTTTCAAGCTATTATTATTCTACTAGAAACACACTTTATTACCCTCCCTGTAGCAGCAAACCTAGGTACTTGTTAAACCTAATGTAATTTAAATAGATTTAATTGAAAATCAAATCAGGCGAATAGAAATTTGCTTAGGCTGCAGGTTTACTGCGGCGGGGTATAATACAATAGCTATGTAAATTTTTAATGTATACGTTTCATATAAAAACCTTGCTGTTAAGGGATTTTTCTTGTAGCAGGGCCGCTACAATGTAATATTTGTTTGAAAATAATTAAACTGACAAAAACCAAACAAAATTAATTAATGTTTTAAAAAATGTTAAATTCAATTTTTCTAAATAGCTGTTAGAGATTGGGCAAATATGTAAGTGAGTAAAAGATGTATTTGTGTGTGTTCCTTTAGATTTTTGTATTTCCAACGGTTAGTGAAATATGGGCAAAAAAGTAAAGTAGCACAGCATGCACAAATGTTGATTTTTGATTTGTTGTTACTGGGTTACTACACATGTTCAAAGTTTCATCACTTAGGGAATTATTTCCAAGTAGGGGGTATTTTTCCCTAAAATTACTGGACTAATAGTAAACATTCTTTTTCGGTAGCAAACAATGTAATGATAAATTTTTGCAGTTGATAAACATGTAACGAAAACAGGTACATAATTTCACAGTAGTGTGGCAAAGAAAATTTCTTATATTTATATTTTTTCTTAGATTTATAAAATTGCATAAACAAAACCTATGAAAATAAACAACTTATATTTTAGCATACTACAAAAAATTTTGCTAAAAAGTAAGTTGCTTCTTTGAAAAAACAGCTAGTTAGTTAAAGAAATGTTATGATATTTTATATTTCCCGTGATACCATAATAATAGTTTAAGATTACATTGATACCAATCTAAATGTGTCAACCTCCATCATTGTGTTTACCTGACCAGTATGTACATTTCTCTTATGTACATTTTGGACGAGTGACGTAAAATATATATTACTATTTTATTTTGCTACACTACCCTAATAAACTAACCTACCAAGCAAAAATAGCTCCACTGATGCAGCAAACCTAGACTAAGTGAATTTCTATTTGCTTGGTCAGATTATCACTAAAAATTTCCTTACGTCAGATTTATTCCCTGTGGAAATAACATTAGGTTTAAAATTAGTAGGCTACTTAGATTCGCTGCTACAAGGTAAGTTACACAGTGTGTATTTTCAGCAAAATATTAATAGCTTCGTATAAAATAAAATAAAGTTACCAAATTCGATCAACATTATCCTTAAGCAAGTAAACTACTACAGTTTACTTTTTCTCCATAAGATCAATAAAAGAATTTTAAATTTATAGATTTTTGGAATTTTATTTTCTGCAAACTTGAGATGTACAACAACGCTTCATAGTATTGAATTGTTTTTTATTTATCAACGAAATAGTTTGGAAAAAACAATAAAATTTGTTATTTTGAGGCAAAAATTGGAACGGATGGTATTTTTGGCCTCTGGAGACATCAAAACAAAAAGTAAATTGGTCTTAATGTAAATCTAGGTCTTACCATGAGACCTTCGGTAATAGCATAATTGGGGATTCAGAAAATATTTATATTCCTCATTTAGTGTGTTTTATTAAAAGCTTACCTCACAAAATCTTACAAACTTGTACATCACATAAGACTTAAGACTAATAAGTGTTGTTTTTCTTTTTCTACTTGAGCATTTTTTTATTTCAGACATTTTCCAGCACCAGTTGGGGCTTAAGGCACTTGCAGGAACTTTATTTTTCATATCCTACCTACTTTTATGCTAAGAAAAAAATATATACATCAGGTTTTACTGGTTCATTATTTGGAAAAAATTATTTTGCTTATAGTTGGTATACTCTGGCACCTGAGGGATTAAGAGACCCTACTCTCAAAAGGGCAGCCATGAGCGCCCGAGCTTCACAACCCCAACCGTCGCGGCGCAGGTACACAAGTCAGTCCAAAAATAAAAAATATTTTAGTTAAATTTTAAGTAGTGGCAAAGATCAGCCTGGAGACCCCCAAATCTCTCCTCACACATTTCACACATGAATGTCAACACAATATTACCTTGTGTTTTTCGAGTGCACCCGGTTTTTTTTAAGCCAGGCCCTGCAGAGGTAAGTTACCCCCTCACAAGAAGATCACATCAAGGATGAAGGAGAGAATAATTAACTCACCTCAGTAAGAGACGCGTTTAACACACTCAATACACAAACAACTGTTAACAACACATTTTACTCAATATTAAGCCCCTTTAAGAGGCTTAGCCACTACGAAGTAGAAGTACCTCGTTCTAATTCAAGTAACAAGGGGTTGACAGAGTACAGGAAGTTTACAAAAAAATCAAAATTCATATTTCCCCCATGCACAGGGATTATTTCACAAAGTTGTCGCTCATTCTATAATAAATTGGGCAATTTACTAAATTTTAAATATAATTTTCATGTGTAGTGGATTTTGTGTGTGCAATAAACTTCCTGTAAATTTTTTTTCAGATGGGTTGTTTGCCTTATCCGTTTCTTCTTCCTTATTGTATTAGTTCTGGTACGTCATTAGTGGAAGAAAATAACTAATAATCTTTAGAAACCTGTCTTTACACTTTGAGTTTGTCTTGATATTCTTCTCAGGACTCATACTGGATTTGGATTTATTATCATTTACATCATTCCATCTGTTTACATTATTTACACATAATTAAGTAAGCTGGATAATGGCTGAGTTATTAAGGAAGCTGATTCTATTCTTATCTCTGTTCTTACTAGCGTTGTATCAAGTAGTTTCTCTACTTTCTGTCACAAAAATATACTTGTATGACAATAAAACAGTACCTAAATATCATAGAGTGCCTTGTTTAGGAATAAAAAATTAAAAATGTCATATGAAAAAAATCTGTAGATTTTTGATAGTTTAAAAACTGTAATCAATGTCTTTGATTATTGAGCTTCTATAAATGATCCTGGAAAAAGAAACTGCTGACCTTAGTCGGTTATAAAACTACATTATCTACCGTACGTCATACCACTCACCATGCAATCATAATCAACTAAAAATATGTACTAAAGTGCCTCCCTGTCTTAGTGAATAAATCAACATGTACAACATACTACATTGAAAAAACTATTTGAGTGATGGGAGTTTAAAACATTTTTTGAGGAGCATAATTCTCTCTTTTGTAGGCCTACTCTAAATATTTATAAACAAACAGATCCTAAATTTTCCTACAGATCTCTATGCTGAAAACTGAAAACCAATCGGACAAGGCCATAATTCCAAAGAGTCGCGTAGAAAACTGGTAGTTTTTTAGTTTTCCAACTCTACCTTTGCTGTCACATTGAGGCAGATGTCAATATTCTGAAACTACCCTTGGCCAGTCAGGGTGGTTATAGTAGAAGTACATCCACTCCCGAGATAGATGCCGAGGCCTCATTTTCTGCCAAAATCTCTTGCACCATCGCCATTTCAGCTCCTCCAGTCCATGATGTCCAGATCCATACAGACAGAAGTAGTTATGGACAAACCTTCCATGATCTGATTCTGGCCTAAAAGTTACAACAGTGCCATTATTTTCTATAGCTTTACTATACAAACTTTGCTCTGGTTTTATTTTTAACCTTTGTGAGAATAAGGCAAAATACTGGTTGGTAAGTATGACCCGTTCTAACAACACGTTTGATTTTGGCATAAGTGAGAATGGCTGTTTCGGAGTGTTTTAGGTGTCTTAGTGTGTGATTGATACTAAGATCTGACCGTTGTTTAGCTTGTCAATATGGTCAGAGTTATGAAACATTCGAGATTGCTTGGACAGGATAGTGTACGAAACCGGTTTACAAAAGCTGAAAGTGATATTTACATTCTTAGGATGATGTGGTTCGTTGGTGCCTCAAGTGCTGGTGAATGGGACGAAACATTTTACAATAATGGCAACATTTCCTCATGACTCTAGTAATGAGGAAGATTTTGAGGTGATTATATGATTCTAGGAAGCGGTCATTTATATTATTCAATAGTGTTGTAGTTGATATTAATAATCTAAGTGTTATGCTTCTGATTAATTGGGACGGGTGGTATTGTCCTGTCCAGCTACTAGGAGGTCACAAATTGTGGATATTTATAGGCATGCACTGTGGATGCGATACTCCCTGGTGTGGATTAACGTCCGCAGGAGTGAGTACTACGACTATCCGCAGTACTATCCTGATAATCAGACCAATTTGTATATACCAAGGCAAAAATGTGGTTTTGATTCCACTATAAACTGTAGGTCCCTTAGTCGTCATTAGCTGCATGGGCTATTAATAAATACTAACTAATTACAAATACTAATTAAGTGCATAACTGTGTCTAAGGAATGTCAGCCTTAGTCACTAACAAGACTACAAGATTGCGCCACTCATCACACTCGTCTCCATTCATACTTGGCTTAAAATATCTACTTTTGATGGTATAAAGTGTTGACAAGTTATTTTATAATTATTATTTTATTTTATAATTTCTTGGAACCACAAGAAACAGACACATTACTCTCTTACCAACAGTCCATTGCCAATATTGCTTCCATTGTACTCCCATCACGAATATCTTCTTTAGGTAAACCTTTGAACATTGCATGTAATTTGTGTTCCAGTATCATATTCCATTCTGATTTGTTATGCTGGTTTCCTGACCTAAGTATTTCAGCAGCTTTATTCCATTCTGATTTGTTTTGCTGGTTTCCTGACCTAAGTATTTCAGCAGCTATATTCCATTTTGATTTGTTATGCTGGTTTCCTGACCTAAGTATTTCAGCAGCTAAGATCTTAGCTGTTTTTAACTGAAACAAAAACACAAAACTACAACGTGAACAAGTTGTCAAATTTTAGGACTGATAAAATAAACATACTAATCTTTTGAATTAAGAGTGATTTTAAGGTACCGGTATTACTAAAATATACTTTTATTGGATAATCTTGAAAGAATCTAAATTGTAAAAAAAGAGATATCGTTGGACACAACTCACAAAAGTAGAAAGTAAAGACATGTCGATACCAGAATTTATTGCTTCTGAATAATTCGCAAAACCAATACCATTTTTGTTTAAATTTTACCAAAATTTTAATATATTGAGATTACGTCCAAATCCAGAGTATCTACTGCAGTTGTGTAGACATTATAATTTTCTTCCGTAAATGTAGCAAAATCCTGAATTTTTTTATATCCCCCAAGGTAACACCACCGCTGTCTGCTGTGATAGTGGCAATATCCTGAACATCTCTTATGGTCGTGAAGACATTAACTTAATTAATCATCGGGGATGCAGAACTGTGGAGTCAATCTCCACAGCACAGCAACTATTTAAATGTCCCGCCTAATCTCAACCCCAGAGCTGCTCGCGCATGCGCAGCGAGCAGGCGGGTAAAACGAGTGAACCAACTCTCTGTCTAGTGCCTGGCTTCCTACAACAAACATGGGTCTCTAAATTGCTGGGGAAACGGGGGGGACGCCCCCTTGAGGTATTGTGTCGTAGAGTAGTAATAGTATTTTAATAATATGTAATTTCAGATCATCTAGTCAAATTCACTATGTCATTTATTCCGTCATTTACTATTGATTATTAATTCAAATGTTAGTTCATGTTGTGTCCAGTTGACTTATATACTTAATATTCAATATGTTGAACAATCCACGTATTTCAGTGTTATAATGCCTTAATTGATCAAACTCTCATCAAAGCTGGCTCATGGGGCCTGTGAATTGCGGTAAATTGTCTCCTCTGTGTTAAATAATGTGTTCAATTAACGTTTCCAACAGGAACGATTTGGTCAGGAACTTGAATCGCATGACCAGATCACCAAAGTGTGGCACAAAGTATGCCACAGAACTTGTTTCAAAAACGAACACATCAACAAGAATTATGATTACATCTCAGGGTTCTACTATTCACTTACCCGATGATCCTCATAATCTGGTTGAGGAGCTCCGCATTCCTCAGTCAACTCCTGGCGAAGATCAAAGTCTACTTTGTTGCGGCAATCTTCATAACAGTCGTTACATAGATGAACAAAGTACACACCAAGTTCTGCAAAGATATTTGAATATTTGTCATCCACAGTAAAATCAAAGCAAAAGTTAGTACAGTTTGTTGCACAAGTGAAAAACCAGCTAGCACATGTTTACAAATATTGGGGCACCTAGGCAGTACACACTTAGATGGGTGCCGGTAGTTGATATTGGTTCAGTAATGTATGTGAAAGTCAAACCCCACTTCATTGTCAAAACCCATCATTAGTCCTCATTCATGGAATTGACACATAGACACTCATAGGTCACAGGTGTTCTAATTAAATGTAAAAAAGGGTCTTAACGGGTCTTAAAGTGGCCTATTTATCCTTGCTCAATCTCTGGCTTAACACATTTAACTTTTAAGCTTTTCAAAAACCATAATTTAGGTAATGGAATATTTTTTTATCCCTCCAGTATTTAAAAGTGAAGTGTGAGGTTTAGTCCTTTTAATCCCATGAATTTCATAAATTTTGTTTAAAGGTGGAGTTAGGAGTTGCCATGTGTTATTCCACAAAATCTAGTTTCTTGAAAGATTTCTAGTTACAGTAGAACGCTAATAAAAATAAGTAATAATACCAATAATGGTGATTTACATTGAAGAAGTGTCTAGTAGGCCTACTCACCATCAAACTCAACACCATAGTCAATGGGTACAACAGCTTTCACCTTGAAATCTCTTCCGTAGTCAGGAATACCACAGACGCAACAGACTCTTCCAATAAGTGAAATACGCGCACTGGGAGTAGGTAACGCACTTTCATATACAAATACATTCTTCATCAATGATCTGAAAATAAGAAGATTTGAGTGAAAATTTGTAAACGTACGTTTTAATGTCTCTGGCCTTTTACTACGTAGATATTGTATTTGTAGTATATTATTATGTGTTTTAATATTTTTTGGGACAGGGGCAACATGTTACAAACATTTATTTGGTTTTAAATAGGTTCTAGGTATTTTTTTGTATTTTTAAAGTCTCAAAATTCACGACCACACGTGTCCCTAGGGTACATTTTTCAACTTTCACGCTGTTTTTAGACTAATTATTCACGCCGAAATATATAAAGCCATATTTTTATGTCATCAATAGTTTATTAAACTTACAAAAAAGGAGCATATAATAATTTTGTTTTTATTGCAAACTGACTACCATGACAAAATGGGTCTGTTCCTCGATTTGACGTCCCGACCATAATGGCAAAATTTGCAACTTTAGAACACGACAGTGGCAATCCTGGCAGCAATAACGTCAGTTGGTTTCAGAGACTGGTTCGGGATGTGCGTTAGTTTTGTTGTGCCGGTGGTTTTGCAATAAAAAAATGAAGTACAAGATTAATATAGGTATCTTTGTGCTTTTTGTAATGTTGGTGTGTCTACGACCGTACGTAGTCATGTAATAAAGTACACATGGTGTTATTTTTTGTCGATATGATATTTTAATCGCTATGTTAACCTAGAAATCCACTTTGCCTCCTCAAACATGAGGTGTAAGGCTACGGAGGAATGGGCATACGGGAGGGACAATGGCTAAAGGTGTGGTGACGTCATATCTATAGTGGCTAATGTCTTATCTTGAGGCAACACGATTACCGTAATGAGACGATGTGATCCCAGCGGCGTTCGTGGTATAGTTGGTAGCGCATCAGACTAGTGTTCAGGAGGTCTCGAGTTCAAAATCCGTCGGCGACCTAAACTTTTTGTCAAAGATTTTTCTTCATTTGATTTTTATCTTATATCTTTTTTTATATTATCAGCAAGTTTGGTTGGTCAGGTTAGGTTATGACAGTTTAATTTTATAATACAAAATTTTAAAATTGATTTTATAATTAAAAATTATAAGTACATTCATTTCATTTTTATCTTATATATTTTTTATATTATCAGCAAGTTTGGTTGGTTAGGTTAGGTTATGACAGTTTAATTTTATAATTAAAAAGTTAATTTTATAACTAAAAATTATAAAATTATCATAATTTAAATTTTTCAACTTAGCGGTTCTAGCAGCAAACGTTGACACTATGTTAGCCATCGTCCCCCCGTGTGTCCCACCTGTAAGGCTACCACCAGAACAGAGCCAAATGATACGTGATTTCACGATCAGGGCTTCACGGCCATCACACGGTATTCACGACCAAAATAGCTTTATCAACTGTACTGTGTTATGGTCGTGAAAATAAATTTTAATATCATTGTGAATTGCACAGTTTAGTTTAATTGCAACACAAGTTTTTCATATTACAATTAATTGAAGGATGTAAAAAAAAAAAATGTCCAACTATTTTTACATAGACAGGTATCTTTATTGCCTCATATAAGTTAAAGCTTATAGTGTATAAGCTTATAGTGGAGTCCTAATAGTGTAACTCCTTAACTCCTTATATAACTAATACGTAACTCCTTATAGTGTATAAGGAGTATGTGTAAAACTATTACATTTTAAAAACTAATGATACTTTATCAAGACTTGTGGAATATTTTAATAATGAGAGTAGTGGAAGGAAAACCTAAATAAACAATATAGTGATTCTAGTTAACCCTGCAACACTCGCGCGGGTGACAGTTGTCACCCAGTGCTTTTGTTTAGGGCACAGCTCGGTCGCCGAGTGGGGGGGAGAGGCGTGACCTTCAGTAGCTTTCCGTTAAAAACAATAGATCCTCCTAGGTGTGCGTTTGCGCGTCCAACCGGTTGCTGGCCCGTGTTATATCGCTCAATATTCAACTGAGTGACAACTGACCCCGCGCGAGTGCAACCGTCATGAGTGTACCAAAGCGCCCGTGATTGTGCGATGACCCATAATTCTGGACATATTGATGGAAGATAGTTCTGATAAAGATACAATTGAAAATGACAATGAAGAGGACCAGATAGAGGCAAAAAACGACGTGTCGGACATTGAAGACATTGTGGACAGACATTGTTGGACATTGTGGAGTAGACAATACCTCCTGTCATGTATATAGTTTAGTGTACGTTTTTTCTGTTTTTTTATTTTGCTTTTTTGTGCTTTTTATTTTTAAATTATATATGTCAGTAGAGGAATAAACAGTCACATGTTTCAACACACTTGTAACTATGCATACCTTCAATGTCATGTGATGTACAAAGATGCACACTTTCATTTGAAACTGCTATATCTACAGTAATTTCAGTTTTTACTAAATAAAAACCATATTTTGACAATGAAATATCTGTGTTTGTGTTCATTATTAAACTACTTTTTGAAATAAAAACTGTTTTTACTATGTTACCTTGAAAAAAAATTACAAATTTTAAGGGTAAAATCCATAAATTTATTTTTGGTCAAAAAAGAATGATACCGTATTTCAAAATTTAACGTTTTTAAGTTATACTGGACAAAAAAAAAAACATGAATACTATTCATAAAAAATCTTAAATAGCCACTTAATAGGTTTTGAGACATAATATTACTATAAAACAAATATTTTTACATATATATATACAAAAACGAAATGGGGGACAACTGTCCATGTTATCCATGTTATGAGATATGGCGCGAGTAGTGCAGGGTTAATCCCCAATTCCAGACGGTAACACTTGTCCCTGACCACAACGTTGATGATTTGGATCATAAAAAATTAAAAAAAATTGATATATCATCACATTCTAATGTTTTATACACACGAGAAGGACACCTCTTTAAAAACATAAAGGTTTTTCATATATCGGGAAGGTTTGTTCGGAGCTATACAAACTTAAAGAGATTTTTTCAGCTTTTTTGAATTTATTTAGATTTTTGAATTTTTTTAGAAATACTAAATATAACAAAAGGTTAGTAAGCTGTTTATTGCAAAATGGCCCTAAAACCAAATGTATTTACAGCAAAACATATTTATAAAAATACCATTTCCCATTTTTAATATTCATTTTTACATTCGTTATGGTTGTGACAGAATTTTGTGTTTTTCCCTCAAAGATGATGTATTAATAAAATACCCCCTCTGCAGCAAACCTGCAGACTAAGCAAATTTCAACTTGTCGGATTAAATTTATACTAAAATCTATACTATTACTAGCTGACCCGGCGAACTTCGTATCGCCTAAGTTATAGGTTTCCCCTAAGACAGACCGATGGAAAGAAAGTACCGTTACGTTTAATTTTAAAGATGATCTCGTTCGCATCGCTCAATCACGTCCTGGTTGAAGTTCGTTCGCTACGCTCACTCACCTTTGGGTTGGAGCTCGTTCGCTACGCTCACTCACCTTTAGGTTGGAGCTCGTTCGCTGCGCTCACTTGCCTTCAGGTTAGCTCGTTCGCTACGCTCACTCGCCTCTCTCGTTCGCATCGCTCAATCACGTCCTGGTTGAAGTTCGTTCGCTACGCTCACTCACCTTTGGGTTAGAGCTCGTTCGCTACGCTCACTCACCTTTAGGTTGGAGCTCGTTCGCTGCGCTCACTTGCCTTCAGGTTAGCTCGTTCGCTACGCTAACTCGCCTCCAGGTTGAAGTTCGTTCGCTACGCTCACTCACCTTTTGGTTGCAAATTAGCTGTTGTCATAAATGTAAAAGAAATAATAGTGCTGCACCCTGTTGGTAATCCTTGTAACTTTAATGCTGTTGAACATCATAGAACAGAACCAACTTGTTTAATTGAAACAGCTGTTAAGATTCATTAATTCCATTTCTCATAAGGTTAACATGGGAAACTCCAGAGCCACTGGGGCGGAGCCCTTTTAAGAATTTCGAAACGGGAAATAGTTTACGTCCGATTCGCATACCTACAGAATTTACACACCAAATTTCATAACGATCGGTGAAGTCGTTCCGGAGGAGTTTGCAGACAAACACTGTGACACGAGAATTTTATATATTAGATAAAAAAGAGGTGGTTGCTGTATGTGTGTATGGGAAAAGTAAACTCGAAAAATACTGGTCGGATTGGGCTGAAATTTGGCATGATGATAGCTCACATTCCCGATTAACATATAGGCATATTCTTATTTCAAAAATCCTTTCGGGCTCCGCCCCAGTGGCTCTGGAGTTTCCCATGTTAACCTTATGAGAAATGGAATTATTGAATCTTAACAGCTGTTTCAAATAAACAAGTTGGTTCTGTTCTATGATGTTCAATAGCATTAAAGTTACAAGGATTACCAACAGGGTGCAGCACTATTATTTCTTTTACATTTATGACAACAGCTAATTTGCAACCAAAAGGTGAGTGAGCGTAGCGAACGAACTTCAACCTGGAGGCGAGTTAGCGTAGCGAACGAGCTAACCTGAAGGCAAGTGAGCGCAGCGAACGAGCTCCAACCTAAAGGTGAGTGAGCGTAGCGAACGAGCTCCAACCTAAAGGTGAGTGAGCGTAGCGAACAAACTTCAACCAGGACGTGATTGAGCCATGCGAACGAGATAATCTTGAAAATTAAGAAGTTAAACGGGGCAAAGCCCGCGGGTTACAGCTAGTATTTCTATAAATAAAACATATTTATTCCATACTAGCTGAACCCGGCAGACGTTGTCTTGCCTTTGACTATTTATAATCCCGCGGGCTTTGCCCCGTTTAACTTCTTAATTTTCAAGATGATCTCGTTCGCATGGCTCAATAACGTCCTGGTTGAAGTTCGTTCGCTACGCTCAATCACCTTTAGGTTGGAGCTCGTTCGCTACGCTCACTCACCTTTAGGTTGGAGCTCGTTCGCTACGCTCAATCACCTTTAGGTTGGAGCTCGTTCGCTGCGCTCACTTGCCTTCAGGTTAGCTCGTTCGCTACGCTCACTTGCCTTCAGGTTAGCTCGTTCGCTACGCTAACTCGCCTCCAGGTTGAA